ATTCCTGAAAGAACAAGATAGTTCTAGAAACTAGAGGGCGCCACAGTGGTCATGTGACTCGCTGACGCAACAATATGAAATTACGAAGGCGAGAATTTTTAACAAAATATTTTTCAAAATATCAACTAGTATTTTAACATATTAACATTAAAAAAAATATTCAATTATCAGAGAAATAATGATTGAATTAAACTTACAGCAATAAATAAAATAAAGTAAGATAAAGACACATCTTTAAAGACATATGAATTATTGATATTTCCATTCCTTGTATCTGCTTGTTTGTTAATTTCGGGTAGAAATTCTTTCCGAAGAACTTCAATGATACAAGTCCTGTCTTGATTAAAACTAGTTTATTCTTTCTTGGTACAATTTTTAGTAATACACAGAATTTCCACAATCACTTTAAAATTAACTACTTTTATAAACACACGCAATAATTCACAGCGATTCACACACTTTATTTACGGTGCCTACTGTTCGCTTGACTCAATTATCTATATCTCCGATACCGCTGGTTTTTCTCGCCAGGCTTATATACTAAAAAAGAGGGCGTCTAGCAAACACTCGGACATTCGCGGAGTTACTCGATAATTTATGATTCTTCGAGAAACTCCAGCGCGCATGCTCCCAGCGTCATGCGACTTCCACTGTCGTAACACTTGGTTTTGCTTTACGAGTTCCGTGTTGTTATTTCACTAGTGCAAATCTTAATCATGCTGTAGTGTTTCTAATATGAATTTGTTAAAATAAAGTACTCAGTATTAAAAAACAAACTGTTGTCAGAATATTTCTCACTTTCAACAGAATTTTGTCAGGGTCAAATGACAGACCACTCTGACTCTCAGAGTTTATATACAAATATTCCGTAAGTATCACTAACCTAAAATGACATACAAGGTTTCCATTACAAAATAACAGAATTTTAACAAGCATTTAACTTACTTGAGCAACCCTCTTCCATAGGGCATGACCTATTCCACACCGTCTATAAGGAGAACTAACATACAAGTCTTCCATGTATAATGATCTGCCTTCCAAACATGAATACGTGAAGAAGTAGACCACGTATCCAACAATACCTAAAGAAGAGTTAATCAATAGTTATTAAAAGTGCACAATGTAAAAACCTTTCTATAATTTCAGTTTGTTTGTTCTCTAACTCCTCCTAAGCTTTTGAATTTGGACCCGTAAAATAATATTTATTCAGCTAAGAATGGTTCGGAATATGTCAAAACAGAAATGTTTATTTTAAAATACATAGATTTCATATTCCAGTGCTGGCTAAATACAGATCAGAGAACCCGGGGGCTGGGGAGTGGCCACCATGAGTACTGAAGGGACTTCTCCAGTTTTTTCTTTCATTACATGGGGTATACATACAGTTTATGTACTTTGAGTTCTTACTGGCATACATAGGACAAAATGTGAAATGCTATTTACATTCATATTTCGTAAAACATTAATTCTACAACTGCATTTCGTTTTTAAATCCCATCAATCATTTGAGGGATCTCTTTTTCCACACATTGCTTGAAAGTATATATAAGCAGTATGTGAAAAAGAAGTTAAGTGAGATATTTTTAAGTCACATGTTACTTATTGCTTTTCATTATATATATATATAACAAAATGTTATTGAAATAATCAAGTTTAGTAGATATGAATAATTATATTATTATGTACTTTCAATCTTTATATTGACACCGGAATATTTCGAACAACAAAAAAGAACTTTCATAAATCTCTCTTCGTGCATTACATAGATACGTCTGCATGCAAGATAAAAAGGTTTTATTAACTTATGTAATAATTTCATCTTACCTGAACATAATTCTTTGTTGTTTAATTCTGCTACAAAACAGTGATAAAAAGGTCTCTCCCCGAACCCATCCTTTCGTAGATCTAGAAATATATAAATATGTGTGTGTGTGTGTATTAAAAAATATTTAATTTAGTTATAATTTAACCTTAATTCATTTTTCACTTCACGTTTTTCTCCTGTCGTTACTAGAAATAGTAAGATATTAGACATGAACAAGGTACTAATACAAATATCGCTTTGAATGCACGAGGTATATTATTTACTACTCTCAAAATACACATGGCTTCCCGAAAATCCTTGTTAATTTCCTCTACTTTATTTTACTTATTCTTTATATCAAAACTGGGGCGTCTACGATTAATTTGATAAATTTTTTCTATAAAAAAAGAATATCACGTAAGATAGTGAAGCACACCTTAAGATCAAAAGAAATACAGACAATTTATATTTTATTGCAATTTTTTTTATGAAAACCTACAAAGTGTTTCTCCTAAAATGCTGAACATCAGCTGATCCAGAAATAATGAACTGCTAAAACTAATTTGTTCACCGGTGCTGACCCCTGGTGCTGCCCGCTAGAATCCGGATTTCGATACCTGTGATGGGCAGAGCACAGATAGCCCAATGTGTAGCTTTTGCTTAATTACAAACAAACAAACAAATCACCGGTGCATTCAGCGCCCCTATATCGCAACACCATTGAGTTACTGTAGCGATTCGGAAATAGGCAACAATATAACGACTATATTATTTTGGTTTCGTACCTTTCGTATAACTACCAACAGTGACCTTGTACTTTGATATGTGAGCTTTCAATGGATTCAGGTCTCGTCTGCAGTAGTTGTAACAACAAAACAAGTCTATTTTTTAGACGAATCCAACGTTACAGGAATTTTCTTTTTGGTGGTATTTAAGTGTAATTACAAATCATTTAAAGAATTTTTCTATTATTTATTTGTTTAAATATCAATGAGATTTTGAACAAGGATGAACACAAAATTGCTTTTAATTAAAATTAACTTTCTACAAATAATATATACTGTAATTTAAAGCAAAATGTTTTGGCTTAAGGAGTATAAGAAAATCTATGAAAACATGTAGTTAACAGGTTTAATTGATGTTTCTTTATATATAAAATAAGAGCATTTTGTAAAAAAAAAAACAATATTTATAGTATTTTATAAAATTAAAAACATTAGTATTGCCCGGAACCACTGAGGTAGCGCTGCTGGGCTGTCTTAATGGTCGCGTTTATTTTTCAGTACTTAGCATGTGATATATAAGTGTTTGATAATACCAAACACACAGTAAAAAGAATTGGCTTGCATTCCATGGATCACTTGGTATCACCACCACCACAGAATAACAAATAATTGCATCTTAGTGCAAAAATTTGTGTCTAGTGCAGGAGTGGCCAACCCACAGCAGGGAGGGAGCCAGAATTTCGTAACGTACTTTACTGAAGAGTCACACATGCACAGAATTAATAATGATAATAATAAAGATGATAATATTAATAACTTTGACAACGTCCGATACGAAACTGAGGCTCTACTATTTAGTACTGAATGCTTACTAAAGATGAGGGGCAAATGTGGCCCAACACAAGGGTTCCATAATATACCCAGCTCACAACCCAAACAATTTTATGAGACCGACGCTCAGTTGGAAAGGGGTGGGGGAGGTACTGTTCTAATGTACTCCAGTAAAGTGTTCTTGTTTTTTGTTAAAAATGTGTACGGTCATTATAAATAATATTAAAATATGATTTTGCTTGATTGTCTCCTCTTTCCTATTCTTATTTTAGGAACTGCTGGCATAATAGTTAGCCTTGTCCTGACTGTAAGTCCAAAGATAAATGATTTGCGGCTCGATGCCCCCAAAACGCTCTCCACACCTTGGGGTCGTAGATGAGCTATAAAAGTGAACGGTTAAATTCCATTATAGCCCAAGATTTCGAGAAGAGTACTGCGGATTAGCTGCCATCTGTTTAGTCAATTACTTCAAAATGGGGGACGGCTCTGTTCTGGTAGCTATGTTCAGCTTTGCGCAAAATTCTTTAACAAATACTAAAAATAATATATTCAGAACTAAACGTATTGTTACGTCTCCGTTTGTTAATTGATTTTTCCGTAACTTCGTTCCAACGAAACTTTAACGACACAAGTCTTTACTTAATAAAACTGGTTTATTCTTTCCGAATATAACTCTGCGATACACTTAATCTCAATACTCGCGCTAAAACAACACTGTAACGAACGAACGTTAACTTCAACAATACCGTGTGACTGCAGTTCATTTACTCACTATCTCTACCCAGACACGTTACATTCCCCTCTTATATATATCCGCCTACCCTATATCTAGTAAGAATTAGAACATTCGCCAAAGTACAGGATAATTCAAGAAAGGAGAGAGCGTGAGAATCACATGATCTCGATGACGCAACAGTATTTTGATATAACTGTCTGTAATAGTAGCATTAAAAAATGGGCATGTTTTGATATAACTGTCTGTCATAGAAACATTCAGAACTGAACATATTTTGATACAACTGTTTGTAATAGTACCATGTTGAACTAGACATATTTTGAGATAGCTGTCTCTCATAGAAGCATCCAGAATTGAACAAATTTTGATATAACTGTCTGTCATAGTGCCATCCTGAACTAGACATGTTGTGATATAACTGTTTGTAACAGTAGCATTCGGAACTGGGAATATTTTGATATAACTGTTTGTCATAGTACCATCTTGAAGTGGACATATTTTGAGATAGTTGTCTGTCATAGTAGCATTCAGAACTGGGCATGTTTTGATATAACTGTCTGTCATAGAAACATTCAGAACTGAACATATTTTGATATAACTGTTTGTCATAGTACCATCTTGAACTGGACGTATTTTGAGATAGCTGTCTGTCATAGTAGCATACAGAACTGGGCATATTGTGATATAACTGTCTGTCATAGTACCATGTTGAACTGGACATATTTTGAGATAGCTGTCTGTAATAGTAGCATTTAGAATTGAACATATTTTGATATAACTGTCTGTCATAGTACCATGTTGAACTGGACATATCTTGATATAACTGTCTGTCATAGTACCATGTTGAACTATACATATTTTTATATAACTTAGACGAAAAAAATAAAACTAGTGTTTGACAAAATTATGTCAGATGCTAACGTTTAACTCTCAAAAATGCTATAGACTTCTATGGAACACTGAAAGTACAATGTATTGAATGAGGATCATTTTATAATTTATTACAAAATTACTCACCATCTTCATCTATTTTGGGACCACATGGCATTCTTTCATATTCTGCCAATTCCTAGTTAATATGTTTTAAAAGAAAATATGTTTTTAATACATAAGATAATGTAAAAATATTAAAGAATTATATAAATTACTTTATGTATACTAAAACAGCGGGAACTGAAGACCACAATAACCATTGACGTATTTTTATTATAATTTTATGTAGTTGCCTTTGGCAACACTACGCGCGGAGCCGCAGTGTACGTGACGAGTCAAGCTATCAGTCAAGTACACGTTGGAGTCTGAGACGGTCAGTCTGCGCAGTGGGGAGTGGTTGACTTTATTTCTTGTATTAATTAAGCCCCTAAAGAAATGCCGAAAAGAAAGACTACATTTAACCATGAATGGGCCAAAGAATTTGGATTTATTGCTAAAAGCAGAAAAGGTGACTTTCATGCATTTTGTACACAATGCCGTTGTGATGTGGATATTATCGGCACGGGAAAAAATGCAGTTGAACGACACGCTGCCACAGATAAACATAAAGTTAACACTCGTAGAGCTGGTACGTCATCACTGTGATCATTTTCTCCCCAGCTCGATCATCACAAGATGACAAAATAATGGCTGCAGAACTGTGTAAAGTGTATCATGCTGTGAAGCATCATCAGTCACACAGAAGTATTGATTGTGGAGTAAAAGTTGACAAAGAAATATATAGTGACTCATTGATAGTGGAGGGTGTAACATATGGGAAAACTAAAACAAAAGCTCTGTGTGAAAATATTGTTACGTCTCCGTTAGTTAATTGATTTTCCGTAATTTCGTTCCAACGAAACTTTAGCGACACAAGTCCTTTCTTAAATAAAACTGGTTTATTCTTTCCGAATACAACTTTACGATACACTTAATTTCAACAGTCACGCTATAATTCTCAACGAACGTCTCACGTGCTCGAGTTCAATTACACACTCTCTGACTGCAGTTCAATTACTCACTACTACACTGTTGTCCCGTCACGTTGTCAACGTCTTTTATATACAAGACTAACACATATCTAGTAAATGCTAGGGCATTCTTGAAGGAACAGGATATTTCTAGAAAGGGATGGCGTGATACTAATCACGTGACCTCGCTGACGCAACAATATTCTAGTACTTTAATTCTCTACAAACACATGTGGAGTACATCAAAGAAGATGGTTTGCCCTTTCAATAGTAACTAATGCTTCAAACAAAGGTGCATCAAAGTGTTTCCCAATACTTCTGAGATACTTTCATTTTGAGAAGGGGTGCACCATGTGCCACTTGACTTTTACAGCGATAATAATGAATCATCAGAGGCCATAACAAATCAGCTACTATCTAAACTAGAGACGTCAGGTCTGGATCTGAATTAAGTGTCTGCATACACTGCTGACAATGCAAGTGTAAACTATGGAAAACACAACAGTGTTTATCAAAAACTGAAAATGGCTCAAAAGAACGTTATTGCTGCAAACTGTCTGGCTCATATTTGGCACAATGCAACAAGATTTGCTACAGCAAAAATAGAAAATTGATGTTGAAAATATTGTGCTCAAACTGTATAACCATTTCAGCACCTCAGCTAAAAGAACAGCACAGTTAAAGGAATTCTGTGAATTTGTGGAGGGTGATAGTTGCAATCTGTTGCGGCATGTTGTGACTAGATGGCTTTCTATTTTGCCAGCTATGGACAGAATACTTAAGTACTGGGAAGTCCTAAAAAGTTATTTCCAGAGCTTAGGTGAGGAGGAGTGCCCCAATGTACTATCGAAGTGCTTTGTGACTGAGGAAGAAGAAATAGATCTCTGACGATTCACAGGCATTTCCTTCATCTCCAACTCTTAAATTGTTATCAGACACTATTGAAGCACTAGAAGCCAAAACATTCATCATAACTTCAGTATTTAAGCTAATGTCTGAACTGAAAAGCAAAGTTTTTTTTTTGGCTTTGCAGTAAACACCAAGCTTGGCCAGCTTACCCCAGAGGTGTCTAAGAAATGTGAAACAGACTTCACTGTTTTCTATGAAAGAGCCATAATGTACTTAAGTAACAGGTACGACTTCTCTGAAAGCAGCTTTCATAACAAAGTGTCAAAATTGAGCCTAACAAGTGCCATACCTTTTAGAGAATTCTGTGATGCAGTCAAGGCCTGTAACCTTCAAGATATTGATATGGATGAATTATATGAAGAGTATGGGATTGTGCAGGCAATTATCGATACACCTGAGATGGTAGATAGCCACAATGAGGAACGCTATATCAAGGACTTCGGTAAATCTGAGGTCCCTTTCACAAATCTGTAGAAGGTGAGTGCTTATATCTTCTCTATTCCATGCAGCAATGCCCACACAGAACGAGTTTTTTCAATGATGACCTCAGCTTGGAGAAATGAGAAAAACCGTCTGCAAGTGGACTAAGTCAAAGCAGAGCTCCAAATCTATAACAACTTCTCAGAAGAGTGCCCAGCCATGTACCAAAAATTCCTGGCCAACAGAAAACTCTTGGAAATGGCAAATAAAGGGCAGAAATACCAAAAAATAGACATCCATGGTAAATAGGCTACTTCCTTTAGTTTGTGAAGTAAGTTAATTTGGTTAGCATATGCTGTTCCAGCAAAAGTAAAAATTAACATTCATTTCTTCCAATTCTTTATTTTTACTGTATTAATGGATGTAGGTAATATGTACAGTGCATTTTAAAAAATTCATTTTAGAAAAAATATCACAAAATAGCATTCATCACATTATAGTGATATTTGACAAATAAATAATTCTCCTAAGTATATTTTGTATAT